TTTTTTTTTTTTTTTTTTTTTTTTTTTTTTTTTGTTTTTTTTTTTTTTTTTTTTTTTTTTTTTTTTTTTTTTTTTTTTTTTTTTTTTTTTTTTTTTTTTTTTTTTTTTTTTTTTTTTTTTTTTTTTGCTGGCCAGCTAAAAAAAACTGCATTTGAAACTGAAAGGAAGTTTTCCCATGTAAACCTTGGTCCTATTGATTTTATTTTTATTGCTTAAAGCTCCTTTCTTTCTACATTAAAACTGCCCATAGAAATTTAAATTTGCATATGTAACTCTACTGTTTCCTTCTTATCAAGTGTCTCAACAGTACTATTTCTGTGGCAGCTGTAAAAAGATAATGGCTTGGACATGCCTCCTTTCAGCATCTGTTCCAACAATCAAACAAGAACAACCATACCCTAGCTATTCTCTTTATAATCCAAAAATTTGCTTCTCGAGTGTTTTAACGATGGTCTAAAAAATCTATATGCACATAAAATTCCATAAATTATTTCAGATTTTCTCTGAGACAACTTAATTCACTGTGACCAGACTTCTTAAGGAATTGACTTTGAAGTTATTGTGAAGTATTTGAGTTTTTTAATAAAAAATTTCTCTTATGTCTTATCGGAACCCTCACATTTTTTTTTTCAAAGTTGTTTTAATATCTCTCTCCAGTCTAGACCCCAGGGAACGGCCTTAGACACTCCAAATGTATCAATTGCTACACCAAACCAAGGAACACACGGAACAATACAGGCCATTCTGGCAGGGGGTAAATCATCATTTCTAATACCAAACAGTTAAATTCTTGTTCAAAAGTTTATTGTTAAGTTTTTAAAAGTGGATATTGTGTTGTTGCATTAGTTCCCTTCAATGGTGCAAATAGTGTGATTGTTATTTAATATTTTACCACACATTCAAAGGGCCAATGTTATATTTTTGGCTCTGCTGGTAATCCAAGTTGAGAATTACAGATCACAGTTCATATAATTTATAATACATGACTTATCCTCTTGACTTAAATGGATGTATATAATGTTAACTTCGGTAACTATAATGTATTTATGAAAGGCACTGCTATATTTTCATAGTACCTTACGGATTTTAAATTTTATTATACTTATACATGGATTAAAATTAACAATTCATCCAGTATTAAATTATGTTGTATCTGTTGTGAAAACAAAGTTAACATCCATTCACTGTTGGATTTTCAACTTAACACCCTTGGTCAAATGTTTCGTAGTTTGTTTTCAGAAAAACTGCCTTACTTAATGCACAAAAGAAATGCTCTTAGTGATGTAACAGTTAAAATTATATAAACTGTATTGTTATGCAATTACTTATATTTTAATATTTTTAAATAGGGGAATTACAACTTCTCACCATGTGTTATGTTTACCTTCCAGATCTTCTCAACAGCGCTGATATAGCAGGATTGTCCCCCTTAGTCTATCATTTGAGTGGGCAAGGCCCAGGACCATTAACTGCAGCCTTACAAGCCTCAGGGGTTACATTTACACCAGGGTAATTACTAACTTTGCTATTCCAAACTTAATATACTCAGTCTCAAATAACACAATTTAATCAAAAGGTATGTGTACAGTATAGCCTTCAGACACAATTTAGAGATGTTCAATAAAATAAATTGCTGGCATTAACTCTGTGTTCAGTTGCTACAGAACTTATTTTCAGTCCACAATGCTAAGTAATCAAAAATATTCAAACCTCTTACATTTTAAGAAATAAACAAATTTAAAATTAATTTTCATATCCTTTTTGTCCCCTGTCAATGAGTGTCTAGACTTCATCTATTATCTATAAGCTCATGAAGTCTTTTTATGTTAGGTTAGGCTGCCACAACAGTAAATTTTTAAAAAAAACTGTAACACATCTTTGTTAGGCTGGATTTTGAATGCTTCTTTATTGGAAGAACAAAAAAAAAAAATTAAAATTTGAGAGTTACATGAGGTTAGCATTAACGTAAATATAAGAGTAAAGTTTGAAGCTTGTTTAAAATATAAATCATCACATTGTTATGAGTTAAATTATATTTTTATATATATATTTCTTATTATACATTTAAAAGTCAATTGTTCATGTGGTTTTTCTTGTACTATTTAAAAAAGTCACAGGTCACTTTGCATCTTTAAAATAAGTTCAATTCAAATTGAAAAATGGTTGGGAACCTGTGAACTATTTGTTTTAATAAACTTACTGTAATTGAAATTAGTCACTTATTTAATGAAATATAACCCTTTTTTTTTTAAAGGTAAATGTCATCTTTGTGAATCAGCTGAATAGATATTATAATTGAACACTTGTTCCTCAGCGGTACCATGTCCATGTCTTCGGCTCCAATCCCTATATTGTCTCAGAAGGGTAACCTTATAAAACAAGAACCCGGGTCTCCAATGAAAAGTGATCAATCTGCGGGCGCAGCATCCGTTACACCTCCTCCTCACCCATCTGGAACGCTGCGGGGCTCAGACGAGCCAATAGATAAACGACCTCGATTAGATAATGATGGTTAATGTGTGCTAATTCAGTAAACAAAAAAATTACATAGTTTAACTTACACCATTTGTTAATGTTATAGGGACGGGTTGAGTTATGTTGTAATATGTATTTGTTAAGGTTAAATTAATATACCGGTAGGAACTTTTAAAAATTGCTCTGGCTGCCTCCTACTTGGTGAAAAAAAGGTATTTTGGGAAGGAAATGTAACTTCCATCTTACAATATTTAATTATAGTACACAGCACGTGTTATGTAACTATTTATAAATCATTTGATTAGCTGGATGAAAATAAAAATTGTTAGTTATAACACAGAAGAAAGTAATTAAATGTAGCTTGTTTAAAAAAAAAATTTAACGAATCTGTGATATTTTGCCGGTGACATCAGCTAAATATTTCAGAGAGGTTTTAGAAGATTGTCCATGCACCATAATTTCTGGGGCTGTCGGAGGAATTCTTGAGTCAGGCTAATCTAGATCAGCAGTTGAATAACAACATATTAAACCATATTTTATCGTGGGGCTTTATCTTATCCATTGTTTGTATTTGGGGGAAATACTTTCTATGTTAAACAATTATACATTCTGCTCATCACTTGTTGTTTTGTCACTGAGATATTTATCAAAATACATGTCTTCATTATTACTGTTCATCACTTGGAAAGAACCACATTATTTTAAACACTTTTGGTACCCGCAGGTGAAGAAGTGAGAGCACAAAATTACCTGATCTTTCTAAGGTCAGATGATCATTGTTGAATTCCGACACTGCACCTACTTATAGTTATAACCTCAAAAGTTTTTTTTTGTTATAAATAGAGATGTCATCATAAATTTTGCAGTATCATCATGACTTAAGTTTTATTGTAAATAACCTTTTTTTTTTTTTTTTTTAAAGTAAATTTTCCATTTTTTGAAGTAAAAAAATACATGATCATTTTTTTAAGGAACTGGGTTGGATTTAAAAATTTTCTGGAATTGGAAAGAATATGACGGATTAATCATTGCACAGGTGTTCCTCCACCGTTAGTGTTAACTGTTCACTAGAGCTACAAAATAAATGATTAAATCTGTTTTCCTGCACTATATATATTATAACTAGCATATCAACTACTTTCATATTTCTCATCAACTTCCTTCATTGGCTATGATTTTTCAGCATTATTTTATTTGCAGAATTCTTTCATTGACATTCAGTGTTATTTCTACATGTTATTCTGTGTTTGCAAACAGTAAATGTGCTGCTAATACTTCTTGAAGTACAAGAAAGGCCTTCAGACTATGTAGATCTGCTTTACTTTTAACTATTTTTGTTTTAAGGAAACAAGCTTTATTTTTCTTTCCCTCCCATTTTACAGCAATTCTTGTGATGTTTTGAGAGATCATTAAGTCATTATTTTTTTTTGTTATTAAAGAGGTGAAATTTTGTTTTTTTTTTCTCCAAACTATGTGGAAAGGACTTGGTTTCCTCTCACTGAAATGCATTTTGTTCATTGACTAAATGTATGCACTGCATTGAAGTCGGTCAAAAACTAGATATTTTTAGACATAAAGTTCTAATCTTGTTTTAAACAAAAGGAAACATTATAACAAGACAACTGAAATGTTTACTCTTTATATCAACTGGTTGTACAAGTATGTACAAAATTTAAATATTATTTTGTAGAACATTTTTTTTGGAGACCAATTTGGTATTGTTAATTTTATACTTCAGGATAATTCATTTTTGTCTTTGTAAAGTTCATCCTCTTTGTTGGAGTAGATCAGACTAACTTATGTATTTCTTAATAGCAACTGGTTTTTAGACATGACTGATTTCAGTGGCTCTTTTTATATATATATATATATAAATAAAATCATCCCCAATTTTGACATAATCTTATAATTGTGATATCACATATCCTATGAACAAACTTTCCCATTTAGTGCAACAGAACTTGGGTGTCCTGTACAAGCTGTAGGGCATATGCTTCATATCACTAATATGGGAGAAATAGAATAGATCAAGATATTTAGCTTTGGTTTTTTGAGGCACTCGTTCCAATGAAGATTACCAACTCCTGACATGGGTGTGGTGGCTCTCATACTGAATCATTCATGACTTGTGGAGATATCCCATGGCTTCTGTTCAGAAAATTGCCTTTCATCATCTTTATCATCGTTATAGTTTATGCTTTAAATGCTGCTAGGAAATCCAAGGTTTAACTGATATGAAGTTGCTAAAGTATGATATTTTGTACAAATAACAGAATAAATTTGGTAAATCATTGTCAACTTGTTAAAAAAAATTAGAAATAATTGTAATAGTTTCATATTTTTTTTATTGTCAAGTAAAAGATAAGTTGATTTATTGATCCAAATAAATAGAAATTTTATTTTTATGACATTGTACAGATTCATTTTCAGCACATAAATTTATACATATTTTAACCAAGACAACATTTTACTATTAGAAAAGTTTAAACACATGACATCTAAAGTATTTCTCTAGTGAAAAAATCAGTCATCAAATACAGAAAAAAACACCATATTAACTTCCTTAATGACAATAATGACTTAATTATTTAGATTTAGTAACAGCTGGTGATGAGGAAATTGACAAGAAACTAAAATTTATTGCATTATGTTTTAAAGGAAGACTCTCAATATTGCTTGAACTACTTTTACAGATGGCGTCTCTTTCAAGAAAAGTTTGAATTTCTAAATTAAAATCATAGACCACAATAGTTAGGAAGTTATAACTTCACTATAACATATTACACATAAAAAACCTTTCTAAAAAAAGGGTGTTGCCTCTGTTAGATCTCATTTAGTAATGGCTTTTGAATAGCTGATCTTACTTTAATATCCACCATTCTCTAGCATTATGTTCTTGTATTTTTGCAGATCTATACATATGTCTAAAACTAAACTCCCATTTTTATTCTCTCCCTTTCACCCAGTTAATGTTCTTTGGCCTTAAATCTGTTCTCTTTGTGTCATGTTGCTATGACAACATAATATGTAAATAGAGTGTGCACATTTTGTGTAAATATTAGCTGACATTTTTTTTTTTTTTGTGTTGAATGCATCTTTGTAAATAGTTATTACTGAACAGCAATATGTTGTTTCCACTTGTCTGTTGTTTTTTTTTTTCTCAAATCAACATATTACTGCTGTGCGATATATATCTGCATTATTCAAATCATTCTTTTATGATCTGTATAATTATATGTATACAATTGAGATGATAAAAATTTAAAATGCATATGATATGTTCAATGTATTACAATAGTGTAGAATATGAAACAAAAAATAAAGTGTTTTATATATCCTTAAATAAAACATAGTCGGCTCTGTGGTGGCGGTGGTGTCTGTCTCATTCTGTATGCTGCAGAGCTAGAGTATTATTTATAGATAATTCCTAGATAGGCTGGCCCTAGGAATTTTAGCCATGGGATGCAAAGCCTGTTGGGTCGGTTGTTTTTTGCCCCCCCCCCCTACAACCCAATGAGATTTGTGTTTCATTTAACTATTTTGTAACTTCAATAGCCCATATAAAGGAGTCAAATAGTCATATAATGGTCCATATAAAGGAGTCAAGTCAAATAGTCCCATAGTTCTTTAATGGCCTGTATAAAGGAGTAAAATATTCCTTTAATGGTCTATATGAAAGACTCAAATAGTCCTACAATGGCCCATATAATGGAGTCAAATAGTCCTATTTATGATTGACTGCAGCATTCAACATTGATAGATTTCATTAGCCTTGAAAGTAAATACATCTTAGGTGCGATGACATGAAAGACAAGTTACGTTCACATAGTTTAGGGTATCTCTCTAAATCTTTTGTTGATTAAAACCAAAACCCAGTCCTTGTTTCCTGTTGCCTATGGGCAGGAGGATCGTTGGGGAAGGGGCGGCCGGACTTCATTTTCACACACACACACAGGGGGGATCAACATAAGGTCGTGAAGGCTCTTTGAAATTATCAGCTAATTAAAAAATAGCATACAAAATTTCAAACGAAACGAATTAGCTCATCGGTAAAGATTTAATTTTCAACGTGCTATTTGTTTTAGCAAATTACAGACTGTATGCAAAACAACCTGTCGATCTTACTCTTAACAAAAAAATAATAAAACTGTAGGCCTTTAGCCTATTTAAGACATCTAAATCTTACACCATCGGATTTATTGGGAAGACGGATTTAGTTTTCACAAAGATGATTTAGTTTAAAGAAATAAATGAAAATCCTTTTACTTTTACAGCGTAGCTTCTAGATCAGTAAAAATCTCCTCATCAAAGTTAAACACGTGTCTGTGATCACAACTGCAAGAGGACGTGGTCTAAGTTACTTACTATTAGTGCTATTACTAGGGTTTTTACCCCAGGTTCAGCAAAGTGAAATATTGTAACAAATTACTGCTATACGCCAGGAACTGTGAAGCATCATTAACTTGCTGAATTACAAAGCTTGGTGGCAGGGCCGGATCAAAGTACCGGCAACTCCGGCTGTTGCCCGGGGCGCCATCAACGATCGTTCACAATAGGAAAAAGCATTGCGTGTGGGCGCCCTGGAAGGGAAACATAAAGTGCAATACAAAGGTTTGCTGATCTAAAGGCTAACGAAAATGTGATCGGTTGGATAATTATTCATTATGTCCAAATGTTAGTTAAGAAAAACAATATTATTGTTTGTTTTTTTTAAAACAACCTAGGTAATAAGCTAATCCATAGCTTTCCGTGCAAAACTTTGTATGATTTTACTTAAAAGGGGCGCCAAAATTAAGTTTGCCCAGGGCCCCAGCAATCGTAGGACCGTCCGGCCCTGCTCGGTAGCTATAGTACCAGAGGGGTGGCGAGGGTGTTTGGCGCCCGGGGACAAAATCCATTTTAAAGCTCCCCTTTTCTTTTTTTCAACTCTCAAACCCATTATTTTTACCAATAATATATTATCAAAGCACATTTTGGCGCCCCTAACTAGCTTGCGCCCGGGGACATCTGCACCCCCTCGCTACGCCTCTGTATAGTACACAGATTTTCAAGTCAATGTATTCATATGGAATTAAAGTTTCCTGTACCTTGATAAATTGATTGGGGAAAAACTTCTAAATTATGTTAAATTCGTCGAAAACATTTTAAAACTTAATTTTCCGGATAATGTCATTGGTGACATGTTTATGCTCAGTTCACACAATTAAATTTCTTTTTGAACGAACTATTTTGTGTTATAACATAGTGCGTTCAAAAAGAATTGGACGATAATTTGATTGTGAGTAAATGTCGTAAGGGGCCATCCATAAAAGACGTCCACCAATTTTTTGCTATTTTTTACCCTTCCCCCTTTGTCCACTTTTATCCACTTTTGACTTGAACCCCCCCTCCCTCCCCCCAGTTGTGGACGTCCAAAACATAAAATTTACCGAACTTAAATTAATGAATATTTTGGGAAAATGTACAACAATATAAAGAGTATGTATTTACAAAGATTTTTTTTAGAAATTCCAATTATTTGCAGGCAAAATTCTAAATGAAATAATAACTGTTCAAAAAGATTTTATTGAATCACTGTATTAAAAAATGTAATAAACAAATAATCCACCATTCTTCAATCAACGGAAAATTCGGACTGCAGCCATTCAAACATGTTTCGTATAATGACAACATCTGTTCTTGAGTCTTCAATTGCTAATTCAATTTGAGTGGCAGTCTCTTTGTCTGATTCGACTGCCATATTATGTTCACTAGCAGGAATATTGCAATGGATGACCTTATGTTTTTTCATTGCCGCCTGTGATGGGAAATATTTACAGCAGAAACATATTCTCTTGGAAATTCTCCCAGCCACAGATGGACAATAGAGATCAAAAAGCATGCTACTGTAACTGTGATCGGGCAGTAAATTTATGCAAAACTGCTGCACTCAAAAAAACACTACAATGTGGACATCCACTTTGTCCTAAATCCCCTCCCCCCCCTTTTTCCACTTAAGTCCACTTTTTGCTGAACCCCCGCTCCCCCCTTTTGTGTGGACGTCTTTTATGGATGACACCTTAGAGGATATTTAATGAACTAATACCGGCTTGCACAACATATCCTCTGTCCTATTTTCTTTCAGCCTGCACAAGCTATTAATAAAGTATTACTGCCAGCCTTACATTTTTAGTTGTGCAGGCCTGAAGTAATACAATATTTTTGGATCAAACTTAAATGTCATTTAAAAAAATGAAATATCCTGATTTGCATATTTTATCCATGCAATTTTTTCACTTAGAATAAACGTTTTGTACTTGCAGCATTTTTTTGAATTTTCTGAGTCTTGAAGCTTAAATAAGTTCTAACAAACACCTGAATGAAATTCAATGCGGAAAAACTGCATAAAACTGGTGTTGTGTGGCATATGTCTAAAACCTATATTTTTAAAAAGAACTATAAGGGTCGCTTGTTACAAAAAAATAATATAAAATGACAGAACACTGTAATCTATCAGTGGAAGCCGCAAATTAAATATAGAGATGAGCAAGAAATGCAAGAACCAATCTGATTAGCTGGTAAGAAGACTAGCCAGCCAATATCAAGGCTTGTTTTATTAGGTGAATGGATCAGCCCTTCATAGTTTTTGCCACTGAATCTTGGGCAGATAGTTCAGCCTAGTTGACTCAAGATGGTTATTCAGGTTAAATTAAATGAAATAGTTATAAATTATACTTTTTTTCGACCTTCCATTTTTTTCTGTACACTTTTTATGCTGTTGTCACTGTTGTAGTTGTTCAGTTTTTTAAGGGACTTTTTGTTCGGTTTATGACCAAAAGTTTGGCATGTATGCATATTGTTACGCACTGACTTGTATTGGGAGAAATTAATCTCCTATTTTAATTTTAATTGGCTCGTTGTAAACAGTGCCTAACAAAGGACGATACCATAGAATCAACAAAATTAAAGATACGACCCAAAACAGTTTCTAGTTACAATTAATAAGATTTATTAAGTCTTAAGATAATTACAAAAGAAAAGAAAATATAATGACAATCTTCAACTTACAGTATGGTAATACAGTTAGAATAATGTGCCAATGAATAAGGCGAAATAAACACATATAAGCTCAATAATACACAAAGAATAAAACACGCCTCGTAAAGTTAATAAATCTATCTGAATCTCCGTTCCTCCGTATCTGTCAATCCTTTATATACATGTAGCCTAAGACGCTTCCAGAAGGACCTATGATGTGTTGTTTACATATCTCGGGTTAAGGAGTACATTCGAGAAGTTACCCGGAGACATTCTACCCAATGCGTAATTGGAAGCCGATTGTAAACAAGCTACATCAAAGAGATTTAGCCACGCCCACAACAGACGTTACTGTCTGCTAGGAGTGTACTACGAGGTCGAGGAAAGTTCACGCACAGGAAATTGTGCTACATAACAATATACTATACTTTTCTTCGAAACAAAAAATTCTGGACTTTGTGTTGTCACCCCTTGAAGGCTTAAATAAATACTGCTTTAAAACTTTAGGCAGACACCCATATCGCCTATAGTTAATACTTTACCCTATGAATTCAGAATTACCATGACATGCCTAACAGAGTAGACCTTAGACTAAGAAAAAAGCGGGAACAGGATTGGCTATTTATAAATATTTAAGTAGTTTAATTAATTATTTAGGGTAGGGTGAGCAAAGGTCCCGTAAATATGGGAGTGTCTCGATTTTTCACGATCATACCCGGTGTCCCGAAAAAGTCTCTCAATATGTCTTGTTTCTAAAACCAAACACATTTACAAATCCCTAAAACTTTTACAAATCCCTAAAACTTCCTAATTTATAATATAACTTCAAGTAATATTTTGGCTAGCTATAGTGTAGCCAGTGCCAGTAGTGATTTGGGCTCGCGTGATAGCTGCACTGTTCCGCCTCCACCACTCTGACGCTGTGTAAATCTTTGCTTCAACTCGTTCACTGACCCTCACTTTCCTGTCTATCTCTCTGAACTGTTGCTTCCTTACATCCCCACAAGACAACTACGTTCTTCCATTGACAGTAGAACCCTCTCAATCCCAAGAAAATACGTCATAGTGAAACCTCGTCCATTTTCAAAAAGTCCCTTAAAACTCATCTGTTTAGGTCCGCCT